CCTGTGGCACAGGCTTTTAGCCCTTGGCTCTCTTTCTGGAAAATTCCAGAACTATATAAAAATCATTCCTAAAATCCCGATAGACACGTTTTGCCAAGAATGTCAGTTATCTCTTGACAGTTTGGCATTAACCTTTAAATATTAGATTGTATAATCATAATGCCATTCAGGGGAAATAAGGTGGTGGGTGGCTGGCATTTTGAAAGTGAAATGAACTTGGGTTCCTGGGAATGTTAATCATTATTCTACTAAAAATGCTGATAGTCTTTAATAGTGAAATGCTAAGTAAGTAAAAAGCAGTATTTTGCGAATAACTTAGATCAGAGGTGAGTAAAATGTGGTTTTATACGTTTATTTAACATATTTTTACCAGAACAGTATCTGAAGGTTATTTTCTGTTTTCAAGCCTTGAAACTGAGAAAGTAATGAAGAAACCTTCTAGTGAGCTCCTGCCAGTTTACTAGCCTGATCAGAAATAGATCATTATTTTTGTCATTGTAACCTGCCTTCTCATTTGCCTTCCTTGCCCTTGACTTTGCAGCAGGGAGGAGAAAGAAACTCGTGGCCTCTACCATAAATACACATGGTAACAGCAGTCAAGTAATTTTATATTTTTTGTGGGCAAGTCATTCATTCGTGGTGATGAAATGTCTTATTTTTAATGCAGTGTTTTTCTTTCAACTAAACTTAAATTCTTTTTTTCCATCTGATTTAGTTGTCTGTACCATTCCAAGGCAGCATAAATTTAGCACAGCTTCTTCATTTACCAACTTGGTAGGAGTTTTAAAGCTTTCATTCAGTTTACTTGAGCTTTTCATATGAAATGGACTATAAGAACTCTTTAATTTACAGTATAATGTGTAATTAAAGACAGACCCAGTATATCTGACATGGAGGACTATACCAGGGATTGTGGGAAAGGGGAGGTTTGGAGCATTGATTTCCTTAAAAAATTTTTTATTCATTTTTTTTATTTTATAAAATTTTATTTTATTTTAGAGAGAACACAGGCAGGGAAGGGGCACAGAGAGAAGGGTGCAGAGGATCCAAAGTGGGCTGTATGCTGATAGCAGAGGAACCCGATGTGGGGCTGGAACTCATGAACCACGAGATCATGACCTGAGCTGAGGTCAGGTGCTCAACTGGCAGAGCCACCCAGGCATCCCTGAATGTTGATTTCTAATCTCATCTTAACATGACTGTTTGGAAAGGAGAATTTTCTTTGGAAAGTAAATAAAAGCATGGACTCTCACCCAGATTTATTATTGCAGCCATGTAAAGGATAGAAATGATATCTTCAGTTTTCTAGAAGATACATCCATGTGGATAACATAATTTTAAATGATGAATTAAGAGTAATTGCTGTCGGGGCACCTAGTGGCTTAGTCAGTTGAATGTCCGACTTTGGATCAGGTCATGATCTCACAGTTTGTGGGTTTGGGCTCCGCGTTGGGCTCTGTGCTGACAGCTTAGATTCTGCTTCATAATCCTGTGTCTCCCTCTCTCTTCGCCCCTCCCTCCCTCTCTCAAAAATAAATATTTTTTAAAAATTAAAAAAATTAATTAAGAATTAAAAAATAAGTAATTGCTATAGATCAGTGCTACTCATACAGATTAGTTCTGACTAATGGTGAACACTGCTACAGATTTTTATGTTCTCAAAATTAGTTTATGACTTATGTTACACTCATTTAAATCTCTCCCTTACTCTGTTCTTTCATTATCCTTGTGAATTTATTTGGTTTCGTCGAATGACTGGGATATCTTTATCTGTACCACTTACTCAGTTGACTGCTGGATACCTCAAGCTGAGCAGAAACATATGTTGGAGGAGCTCTGGGTGGGGAGAGGGCAGCAGTAAACACTAGTGAAATTAAGAGCCGGATGCTTACCCGTCTGAGCCTCCCAGGAGCCCCTAATTTCTGTTTTTAAATTTCTTATATTCCAGTAAACATATTTCCACATGTTTCAGATATACCTTGTCTTTTAGTAGACTTTTTGTTAGACAATAGCATATATATGAAAATCCACAAGTCATTTTTGTAGCCCAGTGGCAAATGGACCAGTAAATAAAGGTCTAGTCTAATCAGCACCCTAGAAATCCCCGAGACCACTTCCCAGTGATCACAGTCGCCACTAGGGTAGCTGCTATCCTAATGTCTAACATCATTGATTTATTTCGTCCTGTTGAATTGTGTCTAGCTGGAATCATACCGTGTGTGCTCTTGGTACCTGGTTTCTTCACTGTCGTGTCTGGGAGACTCACACTTCCCGTGCTGCAGTTCCTTTTTTATTGCTGTGCAGTATTCTGTTGGGTGACAACCATCAGTCTTTTTTTTTTTTTTTTAATTGATGAGTCTTTGGGTTATAACCTAATTTGGGGATTTATAAAAACCATTGTGAGCATCCTTGAACCTATGTTTTGGTGATCATTGCTATACGTCTATTGGGAGTAGCACTTTTCGGCAGAGGGTATACGTGTGTGTGTGGCTTTACCACACCACCAGTTTTCCAGAATGGTTGAAACTGTCAAGACTCCCACCAGCAGTTTCTGGTTGTTTTTTTAAAGCATAACTTCAAAAAAGTGAAATTGAATAAAAGATAAATTCATTTTGAGTTTTGGAATACAGCGCTAAATTTATCCTTAAGAATACTAATTTGTACTCCACTAAACAGGTTTTCATCAGCTCTTTCATCTTTATCATTGTACAGTGGGAAATGTGTTGTTTTTAAACTGAGTTGACATTTTTTTAGCTTAATTTTGCTCATTCAGGTTTCTTGGCTGGTCTTATCTTTGTCAAGGTGTTTCTAATTTTTCTTATTGCTTTGTAATAAACTTACATATTTTAATTCACATTCTTTTGGTCATATGCTATAGTTCTTTTTCTTCCTAGGTTGTCCTTTGTTTTAATTTTGTCTTTTACAGGACACCTGGGTGGCTCAGTCAGTTGAGCCTTACCTCCCCTCAGGTCTTGATCTCAGGGTCATGAGTTCAAGTCCATGCTGGGCTTGACACCTGCTTAAAAAACATACATACATATATTTGTCTTTTACAAAATACAGAAGTTTTAAATGTGTGTTTGTGCTTATATCTGCTAATCTTTTCCTTTCTGGTTTCTGGTTTTGGTGTCATTCTTAGGAAAGCCTTTTTACCCCAATATTATTTTTTATTTGATTTGATTTGATTTTTAAGTGTTTATTTTTGAGAGAGAGCACAAGTGGGAGAGAGGCAGAGAGAGAGGGAGACACAGAATCTAAAGCAGGCTCCAGGTTCTGAGCTGTCAGCATAGAGCCTGATGTGGGGGTTGAACCCACAAATCCTGAGATCATTACCTGAGCCAAAGTCAGACGCTTAACCTATTGAGCCACCCAAGAGCCCCCAAGATTATTTTTTTAAAAGTCTGTTTCCTTCAAGGGCTTTATTGTTTGTTTTTTAATTTTTAAAAAATAAATTTAATTATTTATTACATAAGCATTAGCTTTGGAATATTTTGCCAGGTGTCAGAAGGTGACTGGTCAGGTAGAGTGTAGTATACCAAAGCGTCCATGAATGTCTCATTAGACCAAGTGAGAAATGAAGCCCATTTTACAATGTGGATACTATTGAGTCCATTCAATGTGCATGTTATTAAAATAGTTTTCATTTAGAAAAGAATGAGAGCAAAGTAGCATAGACTCAATTGTCTTGTTAAATGTCTTTAGTGGAGATTGTTCAAGGCTCTTCATCAAGGAGCTTTGACAAAAACACACCCAGCCCCTCTGTTCTGTGGCCTGTAGGACACAGGATAGGAAAGCCAAATATGTAATTTAAGATCTTTTAAAAATCCTGTCTTTCTCTATGTTTCTCTAATTTCTCTTTAAATTTCTTTGGCATCTTTCCCTTTGTATAATCATACATGTTGTTAAAATGTCATCGGCGCTGCTGATGGAGAAAGAGGAGACCAGGTTATCATAACTGGTTGTTGGGGGTTTAGTTGTTGTTTAATTTCATTGTGAGACTTGAGGGCCCTCTAAAGCCCAGCACCTAAAATTCCTGAGTCATTAGTTGTTTGGACTACAAAGCAGAAACATAAAACAGGTACATGTTAGACCAGGAGCCCTTTTCTGATACCAGTTGGTTTGGTTCCTGTGGCTGAATCTTAGTACCTTAAAGAGGTGAGAGTCTCTGGGACCGACTGGTAAGTTTTTGAGGACAAGACCAGAAGTGCCGCCCCTGTGAGGAGAGCCCCAGCACGCACGAGGCCAGTCCAAGGGGGAGAGAGGTTGGGAAAGGAGGGAAAGCATAGGTGAACGTAAATACTACGCAGCATTTTGTTGATTTGTTTTGTTTTTAATTTTTTGCTGGTCATTTGCATTTAACTGTACTTGTTGGCAGGGTGGCATCACTAATTATTTGATTATTCTCCAAACCAGGGGGAAAATGGGTGGAGACTTCGCTTATTAGTAAATCCATAATTTTAGGAGCACAGCATTTCTAGTTTAGGAGAATCAGTGCTATGCTGAGTATTTGAATTTAACTAAAGGGAATAATGGGGTTTATGTCAAAGGCTCCTTGGGAGTAGGTGGGGGTAGCACAGAGGAGAGAAAAACTAAAACCAAGTGCCTGTTTTTCATTTATGTATATACAAAATGCAGTCTTCCTCATTTTACTATTTCACCCATTCATTTCTCACAGAAATTCTATGAAGTGGCATGTCCTGGTTGGCAAAGATAGCAATGGCTCAGAGAGTGAATTCACGTTCTTCTGCATGGGCTCGCCAACCCAGTACATGGTGGTCCTGGGATTTGAACTCTGTTCTCTGAATCTAAAGCCCATTCCCGTTCTTTCCACAAGAGTATATATTGCCTTCTAAGTGACCAGAATGACTATGTATATTTTATATTTGATCACTTTCATATCAAATGTTGGTAGCACCTTACAGAGCCTATCTTGGGGATATCATCTTTAGTTCTTCCAGGTAATATAAAGCCTGTGTACTTTCCTTTACCTTCCACCTTAGCATTGAGAGTAAGCATGAGGTTACGATCCTGGGAGGACTCAATGAATTTGTAGTGAAGTTTTATGGACCACAAGGAAGTAAGTACACGTGTTGATATGCATTCTTCTTTTTGAGGTTTTTTTTTCTCTACTCCTTAATAAGTAATGAGAATATCAGTGACAGCTGGTGGCAGGCATAATATTTGAACAGTAAATTTAATGGAACTGTAGAACCAGTGAGCAAGTCTTGCTTTTATCATAATTTTGTATATGCTTTTCTCTTTTACTGCCATGTGACAGTATTAAATGTGAATGGTGAATACTATTTTCCAGTTTTGTTTTTTTTTTTTTTTTTTTTTTAAATGAATGGCTACTCAGTAGATGGTTTGGGAGGAAAGGTTCATGTACTTTTTCTATTTCTGTTTTTTGGGTTTGGTTGGGGGTGGTCAGCAGGGTAGATTGAAATAGGCTGTTATTTACCAACTAATTGAATAGTGCTTAATCCTTTAAAAAATCAGGTAAACGTAGGGGAAAAATGATTCTTTACTTATTTTCTAAGTCTAGATCTTTAAAAAAATTTTTTAATACTTATTTGTGATAGAGAGAGGGACCGATCACGAGCCAGGGAGGGACAGAAAGAGAGGGAGACACAGAATCCCAAGCAGGCTCCAGGCTCTGAACTGACCGCATAGAGGGCGCAGGGCCTGAACCCACAAGCCAAGCTGTGAGATCATGACCTGAGCTCAAGTTTGATGCTCAACCACCTGAGCCACCCAGGCGCCCCCCCCCCACTTTTTTTTTAATGTTTATTTTTAGAGACAGCATAAGCAGGGGAGGGGCAGAGAGAGAGAGAGACAGACAGAATCCCAAGCAGGCTCCAGGCTCTGAGCTGTTGGCGTAGAGCTCAATGCAGGACTCGAACCCACGAACCTTGAGATCTGACCTGAGCCAAAGTCAGACACTTAACTGACTGAGCCCACCAGGCATCCTCAACTCTAGATCTGTTAAAGAAAAGTATTTTAATCTGAACATATAATACCTACTAACTATGGGGTCTCTCAGTCTTGAAGGAATTAATTTGCAAGATATTAAAAAAGATTAGGATTTAATGTTTCACCTTTACTCAGATTTGTCCTTCAATGTGGAGACACACAGTTACAATGTTTAACATTTTCACTTGTATTTCAGCACCGTATGAAGGCGGAGTATGGAAAGTTAGAGTGGATCTTCCTGATAAATACCCTTTCAAATCACCATCTATAGGTATGTAACTTCTCAGTTTTTCTCATCAGAGAGTTTTGAAATCAAAGAGTAAAAATCCTACATTTTATGGGAGATAATTCCAGAAATGGTTACCTGACTGAATTTTTCCTTTTTGGGCTTGGTTAATTAATTAGTGACTTTTTGTGGGACTTCCTGGTGTGACAAAAGATGGTGAAATATACCCTTTGCATGATTGTAATGATCATAACTAGATTTTTCTGTCAGGGTCAGTTTATACGATCTTAAGGCTCACTGCCCGTTCAAGCTAAGCAGTAAAATAATAAACTTATCTTGAATCTCATTTTAATTGCTAGATTATTGGAGTTAATGTCATGTAGTGTCTTCTAATTCTGTCATTTAAAAATCCTCTTTAGATCCTCCTTTGCTTTTTGTTCACTCCAACTCTGGGTACCTAGCAGTGAAATCACCCTTTTCCGTTCTCTCCACTCCTCATCGTTTTAGCCCCCTGAACAGCTGAAGGAAGTAGAGTAGGAGCCTCAGTGGGATTGTATAAAGAGGTACTTTTTCTTCACCTTCATCTTCTTTCTGCCCTAATTGGTGATATTACTAACCCGTTACCCCCATTAAGGCTCTTAGTGACAATTTAGGTATTTTAGCATCAGATGCTAGAGATTATATTTGATTGAAAGTTGACACTTTTCAAGTTTGTATTTTGAGAGAGAGAGAGAGACCGTGTAGGTGGGGGAGGGTCAGAGAAGGGGAGAGAGAATCCCAAGCAGGCTCCATATTGTTAGCGCAGAGCCCAGTGTAGGGCTCAGACTCATGAACTGTGAGATCATGACCCAAGCCGAAATCAAGAGTCGGACACTGAGCCACCGGGGCGCCCTGCAGGTTGACACTTATAAAGATTTTGAGATTGTGTAATGGTAGTAATTCAGCCAATTTAACCTAGTTTTTAAAATTTTCATTCTAAAGATGATTTTGAAATATTAGAAGATATTGACCAATTTTAAGAAAGAAGAAAAAAATAAAACTGGAATACATTATGCACTTACTGACAGTCAAACTGATCCTTGTGTTCAGAATTGCCAGAGTTCAGACATCTTGCTACTGCTATGGGCTTGTCTCTGGAACTAATGTCTGGTCTCTGGGAGTTCAGATACCACACACCCCACCTGCCCTCCAGTGAAAGTCCCGTTTACCGCCCACCCCCCCCACCCCAACCAAAGAGGTGGACCAAAGACATCCTAAGCTTTATGTTTTGATTCTAGGCCCCCACATTTCTGTCTAGGATAAGTAATGTGGAAAAGATAGGATCGTTAAAAACTGATTTTCATTCAAATGCAGTAGCTTCTCCTGTACCATCTAGCTATTTACTTCTTTTAAGCTTTGTGCTGTAAAAACACTACAGAGCACCTATAATTCCTTCTTAGGCTGGGAACTCTTAGTGTTCATTTTAAGAATATATTGGTGATTTCCTTTTAAGGTCTCTGGGCTGATTTTTCTAAACTCAGGAATGGAGAAGATACTTGATGAATGATTGAACTGGAAATTTCCCTCTTGCTACAGGAGCCTCTAAGTTGTAGTGTTATCAGACGGTGAAATAGGAAGGGAGCTGTGAGGTGTTGCATCTTTGAGATAATCCCCAAGTATATCTGACTTAATGCCTGTATCACTGGGGCAGCACCCCTTCCTAGTTCCGTTCTAGGGAGATGGAGTGTGGTGTTACTCTGTTTGGGAAGGCTTTCCCTTCATGTTGTAGTTGCCTTTCCCCTGTTGATCTCTTCTTTTTATACAGGCATCTGAACTTGTGTGTAGTTGAGTGGTATGATCTTTAAACCTTTACATGTGGAATGTCCAAACCATATAAATTCATTCAGATATATTTAATAAATGTTTGCTTAAAGACTAAAAATTAGCATGCTGAATCTAGTTTTGAGCCCTAAATTCCTAGTTATAAAGAAAATAGTATAGCTGTCTAACAGTGAGCTATAGAAAACATTTACATATCATGTAGAAATGTAGTTATTTCTCAAACCCTATCTTATTTTTCCAGATAATATAACTGTTTCATCATAACTTTCAAAGTAAAAATGTCTAAACTTCAGGCTTGGTTTATTTATTAACTAATGACACAATTGAAGCTATGTACTTTTCTTAAATTAATGATGTAATATGAAATTGCTTGGGACAAATGACTAGGCTGATTTAACTTCTTCATACTTTTTCCTTTGCCTTGCTGTGTGCTTTTAGAACTTGGTAATGCCTACAGATGTGTACCATCTTCTCTTAGGGAAGTAGATCTAGTTGAAATATTTGTACAGGCTGTGCTTGTTTCCTCCAAAGGAAGGATTGCATAAGAGAGTTATAATCAGTTGTGTGGGGTGACCCATTTTCAGGTCATCAACAATGTCATTACTGTTGAATTTGCCTTAAACATTTTGAGAGGTAGTAGCCCATTTAGAATAGGCAAGGTTTCCATTTTGAGTTGTATAGATAGTTGTAGAATTATACAGAACAGCAAGGAGATGAGATAAACCCACCCTTAAGGTTCTTTTTAAACCCTGCCTCTGTAGTGTCTAGGCAGCCATACCCTTCTTCCTCAGCCAGATTTTGAGCCCTTAAGTATTAAGATGTACAGGTTAAGCATCCTTAATGCTTAGATCCTGGAATGTTAAATATATATATATATATATATATATATATATATGTTTGATACTTTATTGATTTTTTAAAAATATTTATTTAGAGAGTGTGCATGCATGTGGGGGAGGAGCAGAGAGAAAGAGAATCCCAAGCAAGTTCCATGCTGTCAGGGCAGAGCCCAGCTCGGGGCTCGATCTCACAAACTGTGAGATCTTGACCTGAACCGAAATCAAGAGTCTGGCGCTCAACTAGCGGAGCCACCCAGGTGCCCTGATTGATTGACTGATTGATTGTATAAATGCTCCATATTATTATTTTTTTGGTAATGTTTTTTTTTTTAATGTTTATTTCTGAGAGAGAGAGAGAGAGACAGCGAGACAGCGCGAGCAGGGGAGGGTCAGAGAGAGAGGGACACACAGAATCTGAAACAGGCTCCAGGCTCTGAGCTAACTGTCAGCACAGAGCCCAACGTGGGGCTCGAACCCACGAACCGTGAGATCATGACCTGAGCTGAAGTCGGACGCTTAACTGACTGAGAACGAACATGATCAGGGGAGGGACAGAGAGAGAAAGGGACAGAGGATCCAAAGCAGGCTCTGCGCTGACAGCAGCAAGCCCCATGTGGGGCTGAAACACATGAACCGTGAGATCAGTACCTGAACTGAAGTTGGACGCTCAACTGACTGAGCCACCCAGACGCCCCTAAATGCTCCATATTCTTAGTATGAATGTACAAAGGTCCAGGTGACCAAAAATAAAGACAAATTTTAAATGTCTCATAATCCTGACCCTCAATGGATATCATCATTACATTCTGGTATATGTACTTTAAAACAATTTTCTATGCATATTTAAGTATATATTCAATATAATTTGACATGCTTATCTTTCAGGGCATCCTTTAAATAAGTTTTAGAGAGTTTTCAGAAGTTACATGATTGCCTGAGTTATAAGGAAAAATGTTTTTTAAAAACAATTTATGTCATTATATATGTTTTTTCCCCCTCAAAATAGCAATAAAGCTATTTCAAATCATCTTTGGAAAGAGAAGGAATATAAACAGACAATATAGGAAGGAATATAAGCAGGTTATGAATTGACTTTTTAAATGCCATCATCTTAAGCTGATCTTTTGGAATACTACATTCTCTTTGAGTAGCATAAGCAATGATGTTTATGAAATCATCTTGATGCTTTGAAGTTGGATATAAATTTTTGAAATGGCTAAAGATCATTTAATTTCACAGAGTAAGATGATGGAAAAACTGAGTAACATCAATTGGAGTTGTAAAATGATACATGATTATGAAATTGGCCTAAGTTTAGAGATTACAATTTTCTTGTGAACTGGCCCTGACAGTGCTTTCAGAGAGGATTTATGAAACTCCTAATCAGTTGTAACATCATTGAAATATTTGCATTGCTTTCCAGAGTGACTGCTTTGAAATAAATCATATTTGAATTTTTAAAAATGTTTTTAATGAGAGGGAGACAGAGTGCGAGTAGGGTAGGGGCAGAGAGAGAGAGAGACACAGAATCCGAAGCGGGCTGCGGGCTCCAGGCTCCAAGCTGTCAGCACAGAGCCCGATGTGGGCTCAGACTCACGGACCATGAGATCATGACCTGAGCTGAAGTGGGATGCCTAACCAACTCAGCCACCCAGGCTCAAAATCTTAAAGTTCAGATTTATTTGAAAGTTCAGACTTTTTGCCTTTTTCATTCAGAAACATTCCTTAAAAGGCATAGTGCTGCTGGGTGTCACCAGCTGTGTGAATTAGGAGAGTGTGTGCCTGACCAGGGGCCTGGTGCTCAGGAAAGAGCACTTCTGGCCCTGGTTTTCCTTGATCATGACACTGATACTTACCTGAACTGTTGTTCCTTTTCTAGAAAATGAGGTAATGGAATTAAATGAACTCTGCATGTTTGGATATTGACCAATATATTAAATACTCAGGGTAGATGGCATTCTACTAGGCAATTAGGAAGATCATGTAAGACTCTCTCTAGTGACAAGATTAACATAAATAAAATAATTGCATAGGCTTTAGTGACATTTGATTGCTTTTTAGGAGAGGTGTGGGTTAGTGCCTCAGCGTGTATGGAAGAAGGTAGGCTTTTACAAGAAAGAAGTGTTTCCTGTATTGAAAGTACACCTTTTACAAAGCATCAGAGATGTGATGCTGTGCATAAGAACACTGTTTCAGAACCCCAAGTAATCCCCAGTCCATGAAGACTTTTTTTTTTTTTTTTTGCAGAGAAGTTGCTAAAGGGAGTGCTGTGTGCCATATTTCTCCAGATTCAGTTTCCAGCATGTGCTCATCTATTAAGAGAGTATTTTTACCAAAGGAAACAGACTTGCAGTTGATGAGGGGGTGAAATAAAGATGAGTGATG